AGTCCTGATTCAAACCCCTCATCCAGACATGATCCAAACCCCTGATCCAGTCCTGATACAGTCCTCCAAACCCCTGATCCAGTCCTGATCTAATTCCCTGATCCAGTCCTGATCCAAACCCCTGATCCAGTCCTGATCCAAACCCATGTTCCAGTCCTGATCCAGTCCTGATCCAAACCCCTGATCCAGTCCTGATCTGGTCCTGATCCAAACCCCTGATACAGTCCTGATCCAAACCCCTGATACAGTCCTGATCTGGTCCTGATCTAAACCCCTGATCTAGTCCTGATTCAAACCCCTCATCCAGACATGATCCAAACCCCTGATCCAGTCCTGATACAGTCCTGATCTGGTCCTGATCCAAACCCCTGATCCAGTCCTGATCTAATTCCTTGATCCAGTCCTGATCCAAACCCCTGATCCAGTCCTGATCCAAACCCATGATCCAGTCCCGATCCAGCCCTGATCTGGTCCTGATCCAAACCCCTGATACAGTCCTGATCGGGTCCTGATCCAAACCCCTGATCCAGTCCTGATCTGGTCCTGATCCAAAGCCCTGCTCCAGTCCTGATCCAAATCCCTGATCCAGTCCTGAGAGCCCCTGCCTCTCACAGAATGACTGCTGGACATGGGCACCAGTGACCCTCATGACCCAAAAAAGGAAGAAGCGGATAAAGTGGATGGATGGATGGATTTATTTATTTATTTATTTATTTGTTTATTTATTTCAATAAAAATATTGAGTGAAATTGACAGAAACTAATTTTCCTAAAGTCTGGTCTCTTGTTTCCAGTCGGAGAACTCCTCGGTCCGAGTCAGACTCCTCTGGGACACCCTGACACCCGACACAGACCAGTGGCCCCCACTCTACGTCCTCTGGAGGATCCACAGTAAGTTCAGTCGGGTCACCTTAAGTCCACGAGAGCTCCATGTGAGGTCCTACTGCGGTTCTCAATGTGTTTCTCCACCAGGTGGCGTCCCGATGAGGAGCTATAGCTGGAGGAGACACAACCACCCGTTCTCCCTGTCTTTCCTAGAGGAGGTGCTGCGCTGGGTGGGCATGAACGAGGTGCACAAGGCCGTCACTCTCCTCCTGGACACACTGGCCAAGCAGCCAGGGACGCCGTCGATCCAGAGGTGAGACTGACTGTGGGCGGGCTTACGCACGCCTGTCGCCATGGTTACAGCGGTTAGCAACAAGAAACCAGGAACATTCTGTTGTGTGTTCTCAGGAGTCTGTACAGAGAGTTCCTGTTCCTCACGTTGGCAGCGATGGGTAAAGACCACGTGGGTGAGGGAAAACCATCAACAAACTTTATTTAGAACCCTGAGGAACACCGAGGGGTCAAACAGCTGATTTATTTGATTGTTCTCGTTGTTCTCGTAGCGTTTAGAACCGGTTCTCTTCACGTTGTTTTGCTTTGATAACATGACGTTTTATTGTACGGTCTTTCTGGTTCTGGTCAGTAAAGTTTGGACCCCCCCTGTGTCTCTGCAGCGGCCTTCGATAAGAAGTTCCGGGCGGCTCATGCTCGTCTCAGCAGCTCTCTGGGGAGGGAGGAGCTCCGCAGGAAGAGGGCGGAGCCTCCTAGCTCCAAAGCCATCGACTGCAGACGTAGCTTCCACCCCCCTCTGGAGTGCTGAGAGGGCCCTGATCCGGGTTCTGCTCCCTGACCGGACCCCATTTTCCTCCTGTACCATCCCCCCACCCAACTACAGACTGGTCCAGGATCTGGTGCAGGATCTACAGATCAGTCTTTGATCTTTCTGTAGTCTCAGGATCACGTCTGTGGAGCAGATGTTTACAGATTTAGTTTGTTTCTCAGAAAAAATCAGGAGAAAGTTCTGGTTTCATCCGGTCACCTGTGAGTGGATCTACAGGTCTGTAACAGACCCGTTTGTGCAGAACCTTTGAGAACTACCAGCAGAACCACACCTGACCCGGGTTTTACCCAGAACTTTGGTTCGGTCTGTCAGCTCACCCTTGTGTCAGAAATCATCTGCAGCAGATCTGAAGTAAAGTTCCAGCAGGAGCAGGTCCTGGGTTTTAATCTGAGGTCTGAACAGAGACCTGAACCTAGACCTGGACTTCAGTTTTTATCTACAAACATCAGAATGAAAAACCTGCTCCTCAACTCATCCATCGTCAAACTGTCTGAAGTTGTTTTTGATTTCATCTTCAGATCCTCCTCTCCCTCATGTCTCCTCGTCTCCTTCCTTACCTCCTTCATCATAGGTGGGAGGAGCTAATACCTGAGGCAGCCAATCAGGGTTCTCTTTAAAGGAGCAGTTCAGCATTTTTCTAACTGATGGCTTCAGTGACTGAAGGTTGGTTTTAGCTGAAGACCATGACCCGGGATCATCAGAACCTCCTGTCCTGTCCTGACCGAACGCTTGAGGTGAGAGCAGCAGAACCGGACCTTCCTCTGGTGGTTTTACAGTTTGGGTCAGAGCAGAAGAACCGTGTCTCAAACCAGATGTTTGTGTTCCTTGTTGTAATTTATATCCAGCTGTGATTTTTGTTGTAAATGTTTGTTTTTTAAGAAAAAAAAGAATAAAAGTTTGAGATGAAGCTGCTGCTGAGTTGGATCACACCAGAACGTTGGTTCTTTATTCAAAGTGCTGAAAACATTTTGAGGAAAATATATTTTATTTTATTCTCTTGGGCCATCAGAGTGGCTGCACGGTGCCTCAGTGGGTAGAGCTGCTGCCTCTCAGTGAGAAGGTTGCCGGAACAAATCCCGGCCCGGGACCTTTCTGGGTGGAGTTTGCATGTTCTCTCCGTGCTGCGTGGGTTTTCTCCGAGTGCTCCAGTTTCCTCCCACAGACCAAAAACATGCATGTTAGGCTGATTGGTAACTCTAAATTGTCTCTAGGTGAGAGAGAATGTTTGTTTGTCTCCATGTGTCCCTGTGATGGACTGGAGACATGTCCAGCAAGGCCAGATTAACCATATGGACCGCTGGTCCACGATCTGTAAGGGGCCCAGTGAGGGCACAAGTAAAATATCTGGTCGTCTCCTGCTGCGCTTGGGCCGCCCCGCCTCCTCCCAGCGCGGCTGCTGCAGCTCCCGTGTTTGTTTTGTTTGTTTGTTTGTTTGTTTTGTTTGTTTGTTTGTTTTGTTTGTTTTGTTTGTTTACAGTCAGATCCTAGACGCGACCTGTCAATCAATCCAGTAGGCGTGTCAGCAACTGACCAATCGACAACCTCCATTTGTCCTGAAGGTAAACGCCCCTTACCTGCAGCCCATCAGTTTTTTCTAGAACTTTATTAACAACACAAAACAGAGCAAAGCAACAAGATACAAACTTGTTTAGGGTGCCATAACTACATAATGAAAAGAAAATTAAATAAATATAAAAACGCAAAGGACTATATGAAAAATGTATTGTTTTAATTAAAACAGTAAGTTTAATCTGTTGTGAGATGATTCTAGCAGTTTTTAATCTACTTAATGAAGAATGTTATGACTTCAAATCGTTCATCAAACAGGAAGGAGGGATCAATATCATTATCTCCTCTTACTACAGTGAATGTGGCACTTTGCTATAAGTACTTTATTTAAGGCATCAGAGGAAGCTGAGCTCGTTATCCACATAAAATAAAATGACAGCAGCATGAAAAGAAGAAATGTTAAGTTTGAGATTAATCCAGTTTCTGACGTTTGACCAAACATTTTGTGTTGACATTTAAATAAAACTTGCTCGAGGGATTCATCTTGTGATTTACAGAAGACACAAAAATCAACATTAAATTTAAATCTTCTTTGCAAAAACATGGCTACAGGATATTTCTTACTTATTATTTTAAATGATTCTCCTTCACTTTAGGAGATTTAGGCCATTTGACAAATTTAGAATGAGCAGAAGTCATACTGGTTTTATGATTTATACTGGGAGGTTTCTTGAAGGAATCTTTGTTATAATCAATAAATCTTTGTCACAAACATTCATTGATCATCTTATTACATTTGAAGTCAACTCAGTTACAGTCATGTAGTTTTAATGTGGGCATCAAATCATCACCTTTGAATATATTTTAAATTCATTGAATCAGCTGTTGGTCAGGTTAGTTCTCGTTGAGCCATTAGCTCTAAAGTAGTTACTGAATCAAGGGTTTACTTGTGCAGGTAAAACTAGATGTTTAACAACCGTTAAAATACACCAGCATGCAGGAAATGGCATCTATTCAAAATTTTCTGGGGTAGGACACCCAACCCCCCCCCCAGTGTCTCCCCCCCCCCCCACCAGTCGCCCCCCCCCCCCCCCACACACACACATTACAAATATTTCTGACACCAGTGGCCAACACGTTGCTGAACAAGTGCACATGATGTCATGTGATGTCATGTGATGTTCAACTTAACTCAGTCTTGGTGATTTGTGTCAACAAGAGAACATAGTAGCATTTATAGTTCTATGAACATTTGCATTTTTATTCATAAAATACACTTGATACTTAGAATTTGAAGTATATTTCAGAATAAATTTTATTATCATTGCACCGAGATAAAACGAGAACATGTCCGTACAATCGTCTGAAACATGGACGGAGTGCACGTAGCTGCTGCTGTAAAGCGCGGCCTTCTTGTCCTTTTCAGAATAAAGTTTTAGATAGAAAAAGGGGCAAAGCCACGAGGAGAGGATGATGTTAAAAAGATCTCTTCACACCTCGTCCTAACAGGACAAGACTTAAAACATTTACAAACTCTGCCAGCAGCACATTTATGAACATGTTACATACAGTATGTCCAAAAGAGTTCCATCTGGTCCTCTGGACATTCAAAAAACAAGAAAACAAACAAAACAACAAGAAAAAATCTAGAAACGTTTCGTCTCTCATCCTGAGGACTTCCTCAGTCTGAGGAGCTGTTTTCAGCTCAGTCTCTTAAATAGCACCTTCTCAGAGTGGATCAACCAGTTTTGCTGCTGACAACCAGAACCAGCTGATCACATGCTCAACAAGGACCATCAGCCTAACAATGGATCATTAGCACCTGATGGCTGTTTACTGTTCACAGAGGGCTGAGTGATTCTAGCAATCACAGCATTGTAAGAGGGGGACAGTTGAACCTGGAGGCTCCACCCCTGTTTAATGATGGACGGTTTCTTTTCACAAAGATGGCCTCCTTTACTCCTCTCTCAAACCATCGTTCCTCTCTGTCCAGGATGTGAACATCTTCATCCCTGAAAGAGTGACCGCTGGCCTGGAGATGAGTGTAGACCGCAGAGTCCTGGCCTGATGATGTTGTTCTTCTGTGCTGGTCCATCCTTTTGGCCAGTGGCTGTTTAGTTTCCCCGATGTAAGACTGATCACCCTCCTGACACTGAACAACATACACAACATTACTCTGTTTGTGCCGGGGGACTGGATCTTTGGGATGAACCAGTCTTTAATGTATTTTGGGGTTTAAAAGCCACTGGGACGTTGTTAGGCACCAATCCACTTTTTTTTTTTTTACTTCCGATCCAAATACCTAAATCTGGATATTGACAAATATATTTCCAATACACCACACCACTTTATTTATAAAGCACTTAAAACAGCTACAAGGCCAACCAAAGTGCTGTACAGACAGAACAACAGGTAACACACAAAGCAAAATACTAAATGAGGTAAATCAGAATATAGACAAAAAAAGATGCAGATAATGACGACAAACCAGTGTGGAGCATACAGGATCAAAACACAGATCATCTGGTGTTGAAAGCTACTGAATAGTAGTGAGTTTTTAAACTGGACTTGAAAACCGAGAGGGAGGGGGCCTGTCTGACAAGCAGAGGTAACTCGTTCCAAAGTCTTGGTCCTGCTACAGAGAAGGTCCTGTCACCTCTGCGCTTAAGACGAGTTCCTGGAACTGTGAGGAGCAACTGGTCCGCTGACCTCAGGGAGCGTGGTGGGACATACGGTTGTAGCAGATCAGAGAGATGGGGGGGGGGGGCACTGTTCAGTGATTTGTAGACATACATGAGTATTTTGAACTGGATTTGAAGGTGAACTGGTAACCAGTGCAGTGAGGCCAAAACTGGTGTAATGTGCTCTCTTTTGCCTGTACTGGTTAAAAATGGGGCTGCTGCATTCTGGACCAGTTGTAGTCGTGCAATGGAGGTCTGACTGATACCAAACAGGAGTGAATTGCAGTAATCAAGCCTAGATGTAAAGAATGCATGTATTACTGTCTCCAGGTTCTTTTTGGACAATATGGGCTTCAGTTTAGACAGCCGCCTCAGTTGGAAGAAACATGATTTAACAATCATGTTTACATGATTGTTAAGTTTCAGGGAAGGGTCCATTATCACTCCCAGATTAGTGACTCTTTGTTTTTCTGACAGGGTTAGAGCGGAGAGGTCGATGCAGTGGTTTGTGATCGTGTCGTTGGGAGGGAACAACATGACTTCAGACTTCTTTTCATTGAAACTTAAGAAGTTTAAAGCCATCCAGTCCCTGATGTCAGCCAGGCAGTTGAGCAGAGGTTGAATAGAGCATGTACCATTGTGTCTTAGGGGGAAGTAAATTTGACAGTCATCGGCATAGAAGTGGAAGGGCATGTTGTGTTTCCAGAAAATAGCACCAAGCGGCAGCAGGTATAAAGAGAATAGGAGGGGCCCCAGGATGGACCCCTGCGGAACCCCCCATTTAAGCTCTGCCTCTGCGGAACTAAAATCCTTGATGGAGACACAAAAGGATCTGTCAGCGAGGTAAGATCTGAACCAATTGAGGGCTGATCCTGTGATGCCCACCCACTGCTCCAACCTAGCAATGAGGATCTCATGGTCGATGGTGTCAAAGGCAGCTGTGAGGTCCAACAGGACAAGCAGCACAGAATCACCGGTATCTGTGGATCTGAAGATGTCGTTAAAGACCTTCAGCAGGGCAGTTTCAGTGCTGTGGAGAGGTTTAAAGCCAGATTGGAAAAGCTCTAAGATGGCGTGATCCTCCAGGAAGCACTTCAACTGGGACTCGACTATTTTCTCCAGTAGTTTAGAAACAAATGGGAGTTTGGAGACAGGCCGGTAGTTGGACACGACTGAGGGGGCAAGGTTTTTTTTTTTTTTCAGGAGAGGCTGGACAGCAGCATGTTTAAAGGTTTTTGGCACCACACCAGTGGATAAACTACTGTTTACTATGGCAAGAATGGACGGACCTAGAGTTGGAAACACCTCCTTTAGTAGTCGAGGGGGGACCACATCAAAGGGGGAGCCAGAAGGTTTCAAGCTGCACATGACCTGCTCTAGAGAAGATAGAGTGATGGGTTCAAAATGGTCAAAAGGAGCTACAGATTGAGGTGGGATGGATGGGTCATGAGTTGGAGGGGAAATGAGAGCCCGGGTGGTCGCAATTTTTTCCAAAAAGAAATGTAGGAAGTTGTCACACAGCTCAGTCGAGGCTTCCAGAGGTGATGGTTCAGTGAGGTGGAGAACAGAGTTTAGGGTGGAGAAGAGGACACGTGGGTTGTGAGAGTTTCAGGTAATTATATCAGAGAAGTATTTTGATTTAGCAGCTTTCACTGTTTTCTGACAACGGCGCCAACTCTCTTTAAGTATCTGGAAAGAGACCTGCAGCCTGTCTTTCCTCCACTTTAGCTCCGCCCTCCAACATTGCTGCCTAACGGCCTTGGTGACGTCACTCAGCCAAGGTTCTGCTCTCAGTTTAGATTTTCTAGTTTTAACAGGTGCAACATGATCCAGAGTCTTTAAGCAGACAGAGTTTAACTGGGATGTCAGCTCCTCAGTGGTGGTGAGAAACACTGGGGGCTGAATGATCATTTCAGAGTTATAAACATCTGTGAAACGTGTGGCAGTGAAGTGGTTAATGGTCCGGGTCCTATGTGCATATAATCCATATAGATTTTATATGAGGCTGTAATAATCTGCTCTCAAGTACAATCTGTACAAATCTATGCATGCATGTCCAAAAAGGCAACTTGAGGTAAGTTTTATTAATGTTGGATAAGTTTTAAAGTTAGAATTAAATTCTAACACAAAACATGTTTTTTTATTCCTAGCTTTAATAATAATAATTAATAATAATGTGGATATTAAAGTGATTAATTTAAGTGATTAAGTTATTTTATTAATTTTTTAAATAAGGGGCAGATATAAGATTGTTTTTCTTCTTTCTGCACTCTTTTCATTCAAGGTTTTGTTTTTGATTTTTTTAATGAATGAATTAAATAAAATAAAAAAAATCAATGGCTTTAAACATCTAAGTTCATGGCATAAACCAACACAGACATGTATGAAACATTTTTAATAAATAATTTTTAATAAATGAAACATTTTTAATAAACAATTTTTAATAAATGAAATATTTTTAATAAACTGAACATTTTTAATAAATTAAACATTTTAATAAACGGATCATTTTTAATAAACAGACAATTTTTAATAAATGAAACATTTTTAATAAACGGAACATTTTTAATAAACTGAACATTTTTTAATAAACAAAACATTTTTAATAAATGAAAAATTTTAATAAACGGATCATTTTTAATAAACGGATCATTTTTAATAAACGGAACATTTTTAATAAACTGATCATTTTTAATAAACGGAGAGCAACACGTCATGATTTTATTCACCACCACAACGTTTCAGGCTCAGGATGTTGACCCGTGATCCAAACATCTGCCGGTGCCGCTGAAACAACGCAGATTTAAAACCACATTTATAGGAAGGTTCTGGAGAAACCCAGTGGGTCGGAACCCATGAGAACACCTGGTAATCACACCTGGTTCTGCTGGAGGTTCAACAAAAGTTCTGACCCAAACGGACCCAGCTGACAGTGCGGCTGTTCAACAGAACCAGCAGCTCAGCCACATCATAATGTTTGGTTCTGGTTCTGAAGTGAAGGCCCGACCCGTCCTGCTCCTCAGCAGGAAATGATCAGACACTAAAACATGTTTTACTCATTATTAATGAACAGAACTTAATCCAACAATGTGCAGTCCAGAACCGGGCTTTGTTCTGAGATAAGGCCCGGTTTGGACTGGACCGCCTCCAAAAACTAAAATATTTATTTAACTCAGATTACAGGACCGTCTGGTTCTGGTGTTTACGGGTCAGGATCTGAGCCAGTTCTTTCTTTACCTCATGTTGAACCGGACCGGTAACACGTGACTGGATCGGGCCCGGTTCTGGCAGGACTTTGTTAGTTTGGACTCTAACTAGCAGCTGAGACCAGAACCTGTCGGACCTGTTCAGGGCCTCAGTCCTCCGAAGCACAGGTACTTGACCTCCAGGTACTCGTCCACGCCGCACCTGGACCCTTCTCGGCCCAGACCGGACTGCTTGACCCCCCCGAAGGGGGCCTCGGGGGCCGACAGGATGCCCTCGTTGACCCCGACCATCCCCACCTCCAGGGCCTCGGACACCCGCCAGATCTGAGCGATGTCCTGCGAGTAGAAGTAACCTGTGGGACAAACGGGTCAGAACAGAACTTTGTGGGACCAAGTGGACTCTCAGCTGGAGAACAAGGAGAACACGGAGAACACGGTCTCTGTTTATTTTCACTTTGCTTCTGTAACTGAAGAAAATATGATGGAACAGAACCGGCCTTCAGAGCGAACTGGGTCGAGGTTCTGACCGTCAGTGAAGGGTCTGAACCTCTGCTTGGTTCCATAAAAACCTGCTGAGAACCTCAAGGAGTTTCTGCTTCGTGTCGCAGAACGTTTGAACAAAAAGGAACGTCCACGATCAATAAATCTTTGTTCACCTGAAACTGTTTAATAAAGTTTATTTAAAAAAAACACCTCAAAGATCAAACAGGATGATTTATTTAACTCTTCTTTCATCTTTTCCCTCTTCAGGGTCTCCACAGTGAGTCCTCCTCCACCTCTGTCCTCTGTGTCCTCTGTGTCCTCTGTCCTCACTCCATCTACCTCCATGTCCTCTCTAACTGCATCCATATGTCTCCTCTTTGTCTTTTTCCTGCAGCTGCATTTCTAACATCCTTCTACCAAAATACCCACTGTCCCTCCTCTGGACATGTCCACAACACTGTCCCTCCTCTGGACATGTCCAAACCACTGTCTCTCCTCTGCACATGTCCACAACACTGTCCCTCCTCTGGACATGTCCAAACCACTGTCCCTCCTCTGAACATGTCCAAACCACTGTCTCTCCTCTGGACATGTCCAAACCATCTCAGTGTGTCCTCTCTAACTTTATCTCCCAGTTGTTCAACCTGTGCTGTACCTCTGATGATCTCATCCCTGATCTTCTCCATCCTTGTCTCTCCTAAGGAGAACCTCAACATCTTCATTTCTGACTCTTCCAGTTCTGTCTCCTGTCTTTTTGTCCATGTCTCTGTCTCCAGACCATACAACATAGCTGGTCTCACCACTGTCCTGGTGTCCTCCTGTCAGATGCTTTTTCTAAATCCACAAAGACACAATGGAGTTCTTTCTGACCCTCTCTGTACTTCTCCATCATCATTCTCAAAGCAAAGATGGATCTGTGGTGCTCTTTCTCTTTCTTGGCATGAAACCATCCTGCTGCTCACAGATAGTCACCTCTCATCTAAGTCTTGCTTCCACAACTCTCTCCCAGATCTTCATCGTGTGGCTCATCAACTTAATTCCCCTGTAGTTGCTACAACTCTGTACATCACCCTTGTTCTTAAAAATGGCCACCAGCACTTCTTCTCCATTCCTCAGACATTTTCTCACCCTCAAATATGCCATTGAATATTTGAGTCAAAAACATCACTGCCATCTCTCCAAGACATTTCCAAACCTCCACTGGTCATCAGGTCCTACTGCCTTCCCCTTCTTCATTCTTTTCAGAGCTTTCTGGACTTCACCCTCACTAATCTTTCCCACTTCCTGGTCCACAGTTTCTATGACCTCTACTCTTCTTTCTCTTCATTCTCTTCATTAATTAGCTCCTCAAAGTACTCCTTCCATCTTCCCATCACATTCTCCTCACTTGTTAGAACATTACCATTACTATCTTTAATAAGCCTTACCTGCTGCACATCCTTTCCAGCCTGATCCCTCTGTCTCACCAATCAGTACAAGTCCTTCTCGTCTTCTTTAGTGTCCAGTCTCCCATACAACTCATCATACACCTTTTGCTTTGTCTTAGCTACCTCCCTCTTTGCTCTACGTCCCATCTCCTTATATTCCTGTCTCCTCTCTTCAGTCCTCTCTCTGTCATATTTCTTCTTGTCTAACCTCTTTCTTTGAACATCTTCCTGCACTTCACTATTCCACCACCAGGTTTCCTGATCATCCATTCTCTGTCCAGATGACACACCAAGTACCTTCCTACCTGTCTCTCTAATTACTGTTGCTGTAGTAGTCCAGTCATCTGGAAGCTCTTTCTTACCACCCAGAGCCTTTAACAGCTCCCCTCTGAATTTCTCACAACATTCTTCCTTCTTCATCTTCCACCATTTGGTCTTCTTCTCTGATTTTACTCTTTTTCTCTTCTTCACAACAACAGTCATTCTACACACAACCATCCGATGCTGTCTGTCCACGCTCTCTCCTGCCACAACCTTACAGTCTCCAATCTCCCTCAGGTTTCCTCTTCTACACAGAATGTAGTCGACCTGCGTACTCCTTCCTCCACTCTTATAGGTCACTCTATGCTCCTCCCTCTTTTGGAAACAGGTGTTGACTACAAACATTTCCATTCTCTTGGTGAAATCCACCACCATCTGTCCTTCCTGGTTTCTTTCCTTGACACCAAACCTACCCATCACTTCCTCATCCTCTGTTTCCTTCACCAACATGTCCATTCAGGTCTGCTCCCATCACCTCTCTCTCCTCCCTGGGAATACTCTCTATCACTTCATCCAGATCCTTCCAAAATGTATCTTTCTCCTCCACATCACATCCAACCTGTGGAGCATAACCACTGACAATATTTAGCATCAGACCTTCTACTTCTACCTTCAGACACATCACCCTATCTGACACCTTTTTCACCTCTACTACATTCTTTGCCAACTCCTCCTTCAGTACCACCCCTACTCCATTTCTCTTTCTATCCACACCATGGTGAAACAGTTTGAACCCTGCTCCAATGCTGCGAGCCTTGCTGCCCTTCCACTTGGTCTCTTGGACACATAAAACATCTACCTTCCTTCTCAGCATCATGTCAGCCAGCTCTCTACCTTTGCCTGTCATTGTCCCCACATTTAGAGTTGCAACCGTCAGTCTTACATTCTTCACTTTCCTCTTCTCCTCTGTCTCCTGACATGTTTCCCTCCTCGTGGTCTTCCATTAACAGTAGAACCATTTCCTCCGGCACCCAGTTTGTCAGCAGCACCGGTGGTGGTCGTTGTTAACCCGGGCCTCGACTGATCTAGTATGGTGTCGTTTTGATGAACTCGCATTATAGTTTTGGCAAAAGTGTTTTACATCGGATGCCCTTCCTGACACAACCCTCACCATTACCCGGGCTTGGGACCAGAACCAGAGACACACTGGCTTGTGCTCCCTGGTGACTGTTTTTTTCTGGATGAAAACAGAAACGGGTTCTGACCTGCGAGTCCAACGTCGGTTCCATTCGCTACAGCCAGCGCCTCTTCCTCTGTGTCGAACCTGGAACCACAAGCAAAGTGTTGGTCCGAACTTCAAACAGTTGAGGTTTTCTTCTTTTACTGAGAGTTCATGGAACCAAAGGATCAGACCGACCTGATGACCGGAACCAGCGGTCCAAATGTCTCCTCCTTCGTGCACAGCATGTCTGTGGTGACGTCGGCCAGCAGAGTTGGTTCCATGAAGGAACCGCTCAGACGGGTTCCTCCTTTCAGCAGCCTGGCGCCATGGGACACAGCATCTGAGATGTGATGGACCACCTGAGGGACGGAGACAGAACCCAGAACAGGGTTTAAAGGTTCCGGTTCTATATTTTTATTTAGGTTTAACAGTGTTTTTACAGTTCAATAAAACTTTAGATAACTTGGCTTTGATACGGTTTAAATCTGAGCCAGAAGCAAATCAACCCAGGTTCTGACCCAGAACCATCAGGACTAGATGCTTGGTCCTGCTCACAGAGTCCATGTGTTCCAGATGTTTGACGTTAAAGCTGCAGCTCAAAAACCCAATCAGAACCACTGAAAGCTCACACGGAGGCTCGACTGGCTCAGAGAGCTGTCAATCATATCACTGTTGGGCGTGCTCTGAATATCCAGAGCGTTTCCATGGAGACCAGCCTGCTGAATAAAGAGCAGAACCAGGTCTGGTTCTAGTTTACCTTCTCTGCAGCTCTGGAGTTGATGAGTGGACCCTGGGTGGTGCCAGGCTCCGAGCCATGACCCAGTCGGAGCTCAGCGTCCATCGCTCGGCCCAGTTTGTCCAGGAAGTGGTCGTAGATCCCGCTCTGGACCAGGAACCGGTTGGAACTCACGCAGGTCTGCAGGAGAACAGAGAACCTTCAGCATGTGGTTCTGGGTTGAAGGAGAACCGAGCCTCTCTGCGCTCACCTGTCCAGAGTTCCTGAACTTGGAAGCCATGGCTCCACCCACCGCCATGTCCACGTCGGCACTGTCAAACACGATGAAGGGGGCGTGGCCACCTAGCTCCATGGAAACTCTCTTCACAGAGTCGGCGGCCATTTTTAACAACATCTGAGGAGACAGAACCAGAGCCAGTCGGATCTTCAGCTGTGGTGCAAACAGAACCAGGACCAGAACCGAGCCCTCTCACCTTCCCTGTAGCTGTGGATCCGGTGAAGGAGATCTTGGCCACCATCGGGTCGGTGCAGAGGACCTGTCCAACAGACGGGGTTCTGTCCCTGGAGCAGGGAACCACGTTGACCACTCCCGGCGGGATCCCCGCCCGCTCCGCCAGCTGCAAACAACAAACGGATCAGAACCGTGAGCAGAGGATCAGGTCTAATGTGGTTCTGTCCAATAAAACGGGTCTGAACGGGATCCTGACCTCAGCCAGAGCCAGAGCGGACAGCGGCGTGTCCTCGGCCGGTTTCACCACCACCGTGCAGCCGGCCGCCAGCGCCGCCCCCACCTTCCTGCTGATCATGGCGCTGGGGAAGTTCCACTGGACACAGAACAAACACCGGGTCAGAACTCAGCACCTGCCTCACGGAGCGTTCCTTAAAGCAATCCAGCCCGGAGAGTCCAGGAACGAGTCCAAAGGTTCTGGATGGACCGGTCCACCTCAGTGTTCTGGTGGTGGGACAGATCAGGAACGTACGAAGGTGGAACACGACGCAAAGCTTCAAAAGTCCCGATCAGAACCTTGAAGTGACCGGAAGTCAAAGTGGAACGTTGGAGAACCTTCAGGCAGCTGCAGACGAGTCCAGTTTTTGGAAGAACAGAACCACAGAATCTAACAAAGTTAAGTCTGGTCCTCTGGACGTTCAAAAGCAAAAAACTGTAGAAACGTTTCGTCTTTTATCCAAAGGACTTCCTCAGTCTGAGGAGCTGCAACAAACTCAGTCTTATAAATAACATCTTGTCGTGGTGGATCAACCAGTTTGCTGCTGACAACCAGAACCAGCTGATCACATGCTCAAGAAGGACCATCAGCCTAACAATGGATCATTAGCACCTGATGGCTGTTTACTGTTCACAGAGGGCTGAGTGATACTAGCAATCACAGCATTGGAAGAGGGGGACAGTTGGTCTCCAACTTTTTATTTATTCCTGCTTGCTCTCGGTGAAGGTGAACGCGTCTCCCTCCTGCTCCGTCCCTGCTCTGCTCTCTGTCCTGTGAACCTTTTCAGACTCTCTCTTTTCGTATCTTCTGAATTGTAACCTATGGATCTGGTCAGCTGGTCTCTCAACACAGTTGATACATTTTCTCAAGAAGAAGACCGGGTGAAGGAGAGCCCTCCTGCCCCGACAGGATACTTTCAGCTGGATACAAGATGGATTCCTGGGGGCAGTGGAAGATGATGTGTCTCTGCATATTGTCGGTCGAGGACGCTGAAGATGTGTACATTACTGGATTTATGAAAACAGGATTTCTGCTTTTGGAGTTGGTGGTTACCTGCATATCGACAAATTCATGAAACGTCAGCAGCTGTTGTGGACGTCGTGAAGCTGCCCGGCCTGTGTGAGGGAAGTGTCGTGCTGTCAACACTCACTCACAGGCTGTGTGGCCTGAGCCGTACGATGGATACGATTCTTGCTGAGGGGCTCTGGACGGTGCTCACGGACTACTTCCCCTCAAAATCACGCCTTCGCTGGCCGCCATCATTTTGCCAAAAATCGCAGCTCTACGTGACACATGGTAGTGGCAGCTAGCTGTAGCAGCTAGCTGTAGCAGCTAGCTGTAGCAGCGTGACGTACAGACGTTAAGAACGGAGTATCTGATTGGATCTCTGTTCAGAACTGGGCCTGCTTTAAGACTGGAACATGTCTGGTTTCTGATGGGTTGGGTTTTGGACCTTGACAGAGCCCAGCATGTCTGACCTCGTCCTCCTGGAACCAGAAACTGGAGCAGAACTGTGAACAGAACCTTTTCAGGGGAACTGTCGTAGAACCTGTTGCTGTTTGTAGAACCTTTTAAAATGTAAAACCTGACGTTTCATTTTAACGGTACCGTTTAGCCAGAGTAACGGGTCAGAACCTTATGATAACTGGTACCCGTGGATCTTCAGATCAGCTCAACTGGATCAGATCTGTGGTGGATCCATTCTGTTCATCTGCTGGAGTACCGCTGATCCAGAACCCCTTCAACCAGACCCGAGTAAAGGCCTGAGACCGATATCTAAAGTTGTGGTTGTGTTCTGGTCTCCTCACCGGTGTGATGATGGAGGCCACGCCCACCGGCTGTTTGAGGAGGAGGAGCTTCCTGTCTTTGACGGGGGGCGGGATGATGTCTCCGTAAATCCTCCGAGCCTCCTCTGAGAACCAGTCCAGGAAGGAGGCAGAGTACGCCACCTCCCCCAGAGACTCCCGCAGGGGTTTGCCCTGAAACACACAGAACCACATCAGAACCAGACATCGAGGGTGGATTTATTTACTGTGAACTGAATCAGGTTCTGTTTGGTTCTGATGAAATAAAACATGAAGTCACCTCAGTATACAGCTGTCTAACCTGCCTGAACCATTTGAATGGTTAATCTTCATATTTACCTATTTATGTTGGATTTTATATATTTACGATGAATTTTATGCATTTATTATGAATTGGAAGTCATCATAAATACACGGAAGTCATCATAAATACACGGAAGTCTTCATAAATACACGAAAGTCTTCATAAATACACGGAAGTCGTCATAAATACACGGAAGTCGTCATAAA